GTATATATATCTTTTGCTATATAAGTATATATAAAACAAATGCATGCACATAAATAATTATTTTTTGTTGCCATTTTTAATCACATTGTTTGGTAGCAGTTTGATGTCTCTGGGTTGTGAGCGTAAAAAAAAGGACACCACTTGACAATTTTGCACTTGAAAGTGGGGATTTTATTCATGTTATATTTTATTTATTTTTTTTTGGGCCAGGCTGATGATCTCTGTGTGTGTGTGTGTGTGTGTGTGTGAGGGCTAAAAGCTTTCAAGAACACTCATACACAGATTTCGCTCTCTCGCTTGCTAACTCACTCGCTCGCTTATGTTAATTAAGCCTCCACTTAGCCCCGGCCAAACTATTCGAAAAGAAAAACGCTGAGTGTTGCTCGCTGGCTGTTGCTGCTACCCCATTTTCCCTAGCCGGGCTTTTCAGGCTTTTCAGCTGCAGCAGCAAAAGCAACAGCAACAGCAGCCTGGTGACATTGCGCATACGCCACGTGAACGCCTGCAGACGACAGGACCTCCCATCCCCTCCACCTGTTATTTAGCTGGGCTTTTTTGCACTGAACCTAATCAGTTTGGCTTAATCAACTTTCGCCTGGGCCAAGATTAGCCGCCATTATTAAGGATTAATGCATGCAGGAGTCCATTGTTGGCCTGTTGTTTACGCGACTGGCATTCCTGCCCCATTGTGTTTGTTGTAATCGTTCGCATCAAGGTCGTCCTCATAATTTCCTTCTTTTATTTTGTGTTTTTTTTTTTGTGCCCCCATTGTCAACGCTAACTTCTCTCGTGGGTTTTCCTTTTTTTTTTGCTTTATTTTTCCCACAACGTTCCTCATAGATAAAGCGCATAAAAGATCAAAGGCCTTGAATAAAACATCAAATAACGCGCTTGTCAAGCGCCAATCGAGGCATGGTAATGAGAAAAACAGTTTGGCATGCCAACCGTCTGCGGAGTGGAAAAGCCGCTCGGAAAAGCCACGGGTCGGGTCAGGGGGGTGGGGGGATGGTCAGCCGCTACTGTCAGCCGTTTGACAAGCGATTAAGCCAACATGGTAGCAAAGCGAAACGTGTCCAAAAAGACCAGCAGCAGCAGCAGCAGCAACTGGCACATCAATTTACAGATAAGCTGGCAATTAGAAGAAGCTGACTAGCTGAGCGTATTAAAATCAATTAGAGAAACGCAATCGGAAAATGCATAGCCACAGGTAGAAACTACCAAGGGAAAGGCATACAAACTTCTTTTAAATGAAGCTGCAAAGGCACTGGAAGTCAAAACAAAAATAACTCTTGATTACTAAATAAAATGAAGAGCACCCCAATTTCCCTTTTAACCACTGATTAACTCACACTTGGACTCTTAAGGAAAATTTCCCTGCTATCAGGAAACTCATTTCCCCTACTCTCCCCTTAAAGCTAATTATGACTTTTCCCAGTGTATCCATCATATGGCCAATTATTACACACAAAACATTTATTATTAATGAGCGGCAAATGTGGCTTGAACAGGAGTCCTGGCCCAGACACCATGGCCGCAAGTCGATTAGGCCAATTAGGGTGTCTCCCTCCCTCTCTCTCTCTCCGTCTCTCTCTGTGTATTGACAATTGAGGACATTGCAATTAATTAATGAACGAGTAAATGTAAATGTCCAGTGCATGTGCACTTGCTGGATGGGATATATGTATGTACGACCAATCTGAGGCCACTAATTGCGATCTCTACACTCGCTTTGATGTCCTAATGGCCACCACCGACCTCTCTCTCTCCCCTCTTGCAAAGCTTTTCCCAAACTGGAATCGGAAAAGTCAGATGGGGGCGGGAGTGGGTGTACTCCAAGCCGATTGACACAGTTATTAAAAACGACATGTAGAATTGGCATTCAGGCATGCGGGCAACGACATGGCCATCGACATACTTAGGCGCATAGTTTGACAGGGGCGGGGTACTAACTTGGCTGACAGGCGTGCAAAGTGGCCAGAAGCAGCAGGGTGCCACAAAGCCCTTGTCGATGTCGAGATGGCATGCCAGTGGCACTCAGAAACGGAAAAAGGAAACATTCCCCGAGATTTTAGTCCCGGAACAACACAGGGGGGAGCGAAAGCGACAAACGTTAAGGAATTCAATTAGGCAGATGAGTGGATATTTGACTGTATGAGTGCATGCCTCCGTGTATGTTGCCTGATAAAAGTGCTGGCCAAGTCAAAAGCCAAAGCCCAAGAGCCAGAGCCAGAGCCTTATAGCCAAGCGACGACATCTGACACTTCACATGGCCGGATGAGGACGCCTTATTGGCCTCAAGTTGTGACTAAGCTGATGATTTTGCTGATCCCAAACCAGAGATGAGTTCCAATGGGGCTTAGAGCAGAACTTTTCAATATATATGAGTGAGTACATATCGATGATGATGCATTCAGTGGGCTGGGTCAAGGGCTACCCAAAGTCAGTCCAGACCAAGAGCACTTTTAATATTTCCACACACTCACTCACATACAGAACTAAAACAACAAGTATTGCACAAGGCAAGCCAATAGAATTAAGCTTTAAATTGTTTATGTTAAATAATAAACTAAAAGTTAAATAGATTTGTCATTTAATTTTTCCACTGCTAAGTTTAATGTATCTTTTTCCAATATTTCAAATTGTTAAATAATGTTCTAACTAGCAAGGTTGCTATATTCGCCCATAATTGGTTTATTATACCACCAAGAAAATCTAAAACAAGTGTATTCTATAAATATTAAATCAATATTCTTATATGCTCGGTTTTTGGGTAAATCAAGTAAATCAAAAGTATCATAACTTAGCCAAAAAACCTTTAATTTTAATTCGGAAAGCGGTCCTATTTTAGTTTTGATTAGATTAATAAATCTGCATACTCAATTTTAAATTTAAAAGAATTTTAATTTTTGTCAATTTTTTTGTGACAATTTTTAAGATTTTAAACCCTTAAAAAAATTTTAAATTTTGAAAAATTTAAATTTTGTCCGGACATAGCTAGATCGATTCAGCTGTTGATGCTGATCAAGAATATATATAATTTAAAGGGTCGGAAATGACTCCTTCACGTCGTTTTAAGCATCCGACTTACATTGTAATACAATGAAAGGGTATAAAAATAGTCATCGATTTAAGAGAAATTTAGCATATATGGCGTATACTTAATGAGAAATCCCTTAAATTAAGTATACGCCATGTGTCTGTTATACATTTTTAAAGATAAGTAGTTGCACTTAAAAAGCTAGTTTAGCAATTAAATTATAAGATCGAAACAGAAATCGGTAAAAACTAAGCTTCAAATATTCGATATTTATAATATTTTTATATTCATTTTTTCTCTAAAAATCAAATCTTTAAAATATCATAAAAAAGCCAAAAAACCTTTAATTTCAATTCGGAAAGCTGTTCTGTGCTAGTTTTTTTTATGTTAAAAAATCTGCATACTCAATTTAAAATTAAAAAAAATTAAAATTTTTGTCAATTTTTTTGTAACAATTTTTAAGATTTTAAACCCTTAAAAAATATTTAAATTTATGAAAAATTTAAATTTTGTCCGGACATAGCTAGATTGATTCAGCTGTTGATGCTGATCAAGAATATATATGATTTATGGGGTCGGAAATGACTCCTTCACTGCTTTTGCAGCTTCTGACTAAAATTATAATACCCTGGAAAGGGTATAAAAATATATGAGTATCTTTGAATTCTTTCCTTTTGATTAACTAAAAAAAAAGCATATCATTTTATAGTAGTATAAAATGTTGTATTATTAAATCAGGTCAAGCTAAAGACTAAAATGTTACAAGTTATAAAAGTACTTTCATATTTTTTCTGCGGTGCAAACAAATCCTTTGCCACAAATCAGCCAAGACCTCGCGCTTTTCTATATATATATATACTATAAGGATGTATATTCACTCGTGAAATATTATTCATGATCTGGGTTAGTTTCAGCCAAGTCCTTTCTGCAGTCCTGCATTCATTTATCATTCATCTCAGGCTGTGGGCTCCTCCAGCTTCACCTCCTCCTGCACTGTGTTACTTTGTTTGCTCAGCAAATGTTGTGCTGGAGTTTCATCGGGTTTCTGCAAGGATAATGGGCGGTGTGTGGGTGCTCCAGAGATGGCGTCACCGTAGCTCGAACGCAGCTCAACTGAACCGTTTTAATTGCTGCATAAATATTAGCTTAAAATTAGCCCATTGTGCGCCATATAACGTTCAGTTCAAGCTCAGATTCACAGCGATTGTGTGCGTTTGCTCCCCGCATACAATATATGTAGTATCTAATATATATATCTCAGATTCAGTTTCAGTCTTTAGTCTCTGTGTGTGTGTGTGTTCGCAGTCAATTACCACATATTTGTCTATAATTAATAAGCTTCCCAGCGGGGACTTTAGATTTGTCTCGCTGCAGCTAAGGCTTTAAGCAAATAGCAATCACTTCTGTCGTCTGCAAAGTTCTCGTTTATTCAATAGCAACTTTTTTATTATTTTCTCCCTTTTTGTATGCAGAATTTCCACGAAACAAGTTTCCATGTTGCCATGTTGCAGTTGAATAACTCCTTCCTCTCCGCTGCAGTTTCGATTTTTGCGTTTATTTATTTATGCCACTTGCTGGGGGAAAATCGGCTTGCTCCCTCGATGCCTCCCTCCCTTCGCATGTAATAGCTGTGTGCACCCCTGTTTATGCTATTCTACGCTTCAAATTAATTTCAGCTACCTGTTCATGTATACAACAAATCGTATATGCGAAATGGTTCAGAGAAGAGAATTGAATGCGAGCCCCCCCAAAAGAATTGATAAAAATGCACTCGCCATTTCTGTCAATTCAAAATTCACCGATTTACAAACAGATGGTGTGCATTGCACAATTCCTTTTCCATTTCCATTTTCCTACCGAAAATGTATTCAGGTTTTCATTCATATGCTCAATACATAAGGTTTCTGCAAATCAATGTGATATTAGTTGGCAAACATACTTGAGTACGAATTCGCACAAGAACTTCATGTGGTGTTCATTTTTATTCAGTTTGTAAGTATTTTTAAATATTCAACCAAATATTAGGGCACCTTTTAAAGAGCAATTTCGAAGTGAAAACAAAAAATGATGTGAGATTATACATGCTTTTAAAAATGAACGAATGGCGGGGAGGAGTCCTCCACAGGAGATGCGTTCCCTAGCAATCATTGCAGGTATTAGTATTCAAGGTATTAAGAAGGAACTTAACATAAATATAAATAAGTGAATATGGAGTATTAGTCGCTATCCGTGAGGGTTACTCCAGGCGCTTGAACATCCTTGCTGATACTGGCCAGGGGAGAGTCTATGTCGCTATGAGTCTCACGATACTTGCTGAACAGACCCGGCATCTTGTTCACCGGCGTGTGGAATGACTTTGTTACGTTTTTAGCTGGAATCGACAGTAAATTCTTGTTCAATGCTGACGGAATGCTAGGATTGGTGCTGGAGGTGGCACAGTCAGATGATGCCACTCTTCCGGCCACAGCATTAAGTTTTGGAGTGCCAAAGAGTCGTTTGGGCTGCATGGATGTGTGGGCCGCACTTGAATTATCATCCAATCCCTGCTTGGGTGTGCCCGAGTGCCAGAATTCTGGCTTCGGTTTCTTCTGGTCGGTTCTGGGTGATGGAAAGAGATCCATTTCGTTTGTGGAGAAACTCTCCATGGCCTCCTTCCATGCATAGACACGCGGCAGCGTTTTCTTATCGATATCCACATTGAATATGGCATTGAGTACATCCAAATCACGCTTCGTTGGCTCTTTGCCATTGATAAAGAGCTCGTAGGGTTGGATACCGGGCGGTGTGCGGAAATGATCTTCATCGTCGCTGCTGCTTCCAGTTTTCGCATCGAAAAAGAAGTCCTCCTCATTGCTGTCTTCATCATCATTGTCTTTGGTACGCCAGGCCGTTGTGGATATGGGCGATACAACAGAAGACACAACAACCCTGGATGAGCCCAATCCCGCATCCGGTGACTGCTTCACTTGCTCCTCGGCTTGGACAACGGTGCTTAGACTCTGATGCAGCTGGGAAAAGTTCCAGGCCTCGGTAGTCTTCATCGACTCCTCCACTTTCGCCAGCAGATAGGCCTCTAGGCGAGCCAGGCCCTCTGCAGAGCAGATGTCCACAAAGGAGTCGAGAAAGTCCCAGTATTCACGCCATTCCAGTTGCTCCTGGCGGGCCAGCTGGCGACCCACCACCTCCAGACCCTTTCCGATGTCCGAGTTCTTGATGTGGCGCTCCCGAAAGCTGTCGTTCAGTGTGCACACCGACACATTCAGGCTGCGGTTCATGCTCATGTCCAGCATCGACATCTCTTCCGTTATGGACATCGATGCGGTGTCTCGATAGGCCAAGTATAGTTCTGGTTTCGCTTGACGCACCGGTGTGGATGGCAGTTCCAGTGAATGGACTAGCTTTGCGTTGTTTATGTTGTTGTTGCTCTCGTAATCGTTGCCATTGGGCATGTGTAAGGCGGGGCTAAAGAGCATCTTGCGAGACATTTGAATCGAACCCGACTTGCTGGGCGTCACCTTTACCGGCGAGCTGAACGGCAGGCTGGCCAGCGGGGACATTGCGTTGGTGCCCACGCGTGGCGGTGTCTTCCAGCGACGATAGAACTTCATGGCCTTGTCGCGGGACATTGGCCCGGCGAGAGCACTGATCGACAAGTCAACGCTGAGGCCCTCGCACTCGTCCCTCTTATGCTGCAGATTCGGTGGCTCGTTGGGCGAGAAGGGACGACCCACTTGCGGTGGCAGTTCATTGGTTGCGGAGCGCAGCACGGGCACGTAATGTGGATCGCCCATGAGAAGTTCCAGCTTCTTGATGGTCTCCGGCGAGGCATTGGCATTGCGCTGACAGATGATGTCCCTGGGTTCCTTGCCGTCACGATTTGGCAACGACTTGCACTGTGGATAGCCGATGAGCACCTCGACTACCTCTACATGGCCACTCTTTACAGCGAAATGCAGCGGCGTCTCGCCGCGGGCCTTGTCCGGCATATTGAGGTAGAAGTCTAGAAGATTCGAGTTGAGGGCGGCACACATTTTGGGGCTTCCCTCCTTGCCCGCGTACAGCTGGGCGAATTCTGGATCCCCGAGGGTCTTTAGCAGCAGCTCTGCAATCTTGGCCTGGTTTGTTTGGGCGCAGATGTGAATGGCATTGTAGCGAGGGCCCTCCTTCAGACTCGTGGGTGTGTCGCCGTTGCTAATCAGGTAGCGGGGGTTCTCCCAAATGATCTCCTTTACGCGCTCCAACTTTCCAGCCTCGATCTGCTTGCGGAACTCCTGCAGCTCTTGTTTGGTGGGTCCGGGGAAGGGAGCGCGCTCCCCGCTAACCGCAGGCTGCTCCTGTTGTTGTTTCTGCTCCTCCTGCTGCTGGCGGTCGTTGGCAATGGCCTCGACGCTCTCGAATCCAAACTGGACGTAGCTTTCGGCCTGTTCGCGGTTGGGGAATTCGCGCAGTCGCGCCTCTTTCTGTGTACGCAGTACGTCCAGCGCCTTGGCCTTCTCGGTGAAGATCAGCCATTCGTACGTGGCTTTGCCATCATCCGCGGACACTGTCTGTGTCGAGTCGGGTTGGAGGGAGTCTTGTTTTGTCTCGGATTCCGTCTTCGGAATATAAACCCCGAAGAACGACATCTTTTTTCAAGAAACAAAGTGATATTTCTTTTTTTTTAAACCGTTTGAAACTAGGGCTGGGACAACGCTGATAGTTGTGCCTATCGATGCTTGGCATTATTGATCGTGCACGCGTGCGTTAGTTGCGCGCTATCGATTATGGGGTTATCGAGAAAAAATACCAGACTCAAAAAGTGCTCAGAAATATACCAAAAAAAACTGTTACTATTTAAATTTTGAATAATAAAATGTTGCAACATAACAAAATCAAAGAAAAAGTGTAAAACGATACCCAGAACAAACAAAAATACCAAAATAAGACTAATTCAGAAGTACATTACCTAAAAAAAAATGTTAAACAACTTCAGCAAGTCCTTAATGAAAATTTCAACTGTTAAACAAATGTTGTATTAGGTAATATCTTGTTAACAGGCATTTTATAGTGATTTTTCCCACAACTATCATTGAAAAATGTAAATATCTTCATGCTTATGTGCACTTTAAGCTGTAAAGCCAAAAATATGCTACATCTGCTTAAATTTTCACATTGAAACCAGCAGCCTTCCATTGCTCGACATTTTTGCATCAATCAAGATGGTCCTTTGGCTTCGTTAAGAACGTTTTGGTGTTGTTTTTTCTCTGTGCTGCCTTTTTTTTTGCGACAATTTGCAAGATCTTCATGCATCAAGGACAGGCTAAACGTATGCAAATCATTATGTTAATCGTGTACCATCAAATTTTCCAGCGTCATTCATCACACTGAGCCACACTTTGCACTAGGTGGATGTGCCAACAGCTGGGGCTCCCCTCCCTCTAGTCTTTTTCCCTGTTTTAGTTGCTTTTCAGCCCAGTTTTTCCCCACCCCCGCCTCTTGGTTACAATTTTCACCGCTGCCTCACCCCTTTCTTTTTCTCACAACTTTCGCACCCATGGATAAACCCAGAATGGGAACCCCCCGTTTTTTGGGCCACCGCTTGCTTGCTTTGCTCTTGCTGCTGCTTAGCGCCCGCGTGGCTAAGTCGAAATTTACACAAGGCCCAGGCGCAGGACGCGTTGAGCGGTGTAGTGTGCTTGGTTATGCTGAAATTTGCACTTTTCTGAAACACACACACATGGCAGGAGCAGGAGCAGGAGCAGGAGCGGCAAAAGTAAACAAGTTTAGTATAATCAACGTTCCACACGGCAAAAAGTGTTGCACATCCGCTTACATAACGCACACACATGGATAGCCAGGACATGGAGATGACGTAGTATATGTTTTTATTAGCATGCTTTGTATGCCCTGCATGCTGCTGCTGTACTGTCAGAGGCTCACAACCAAGCTAGGGAGGGGGGCCAGGGGGGCTGCATTTATCAGTTCCAGGAATGAAACGAAGCGGAACGACAGGCACCGGGGGCTTTCGAGGGTCGTTCAAAGGGGTTACGGGGATTCCAGCTGTCTCACGGTGCTCGTAAAACCACATTACCTGTGATTTCCGAACACACACAACACATACACATACCCTGGGATGGCTTGTTCATCAGCGTCGAGCACGAAGCGATTGGATATCTACCAGAGCTGGGAACTGGGAACTGGGAGCTCGTTGCTGTTGGCCCTTTGGCGCCTTTGTGCCACGTTCATTGAATGTTTTTCTATTAATTTTTTATTGAATGATGCCGTTGCCTTTCTCTCTGCCATCTCCCCGGCATCTATCGTGCCATCCAGGGGGTTCCCTGCGGCGGCATGCTAACTTTATTCAATTCCTGCACTGCTCATGCGAAGCACACACACACACACACACACACTGGTCCTCCATCCTTGTTCACTCCCTCTTTTTCCCCCTTAGAAAAAACCTCACCTCAACTAGTAACTTATTCCTCCTTTTAGCCGGACAAGAGAAGAGGAGCCGTGTAAAGTGGCTGAAAAATTGCTAGTACTTGCAACGCATACCACATGAAGGGACGAATAAGCAAAAGGAATCGCTTCAATCGCTTGATACCCTTAAAAAGGGAAGGAAATCAAGGAAATCAAGTAAAAACTCTTAGCATTATCCTTAAAGTTCGAGTATCAATGGTAGAAAAGACAGAATCGAAGCTAAAGATTCTTTTCTATATAAAAATTGAATTTCAATTGATAAATATCACAACTTTTCAATAGCTTGAGCAGTTAAAGCTCAAAATAATAAAATGTAGTTCTAAATACAATTAACAAGGTATAAATTTACTTCAAAAAGTTTAATAAACAAACAAATAAGGCAAGTTTATTCTTATATTTACTGACTTTTTATAAAATATATTCTAAATTGTCAATATTTTTGAAGGAAAAACATCAATGTTTCATTCCATTCTAATATGATGATGGTTTAATTTAATATTATAATACTTTTAAGGGTTAAGTACACATCAAAAAGATTCGTTATTTAACTCGGTATAAATGTTCTCATATAAATGTTCTCCTATAAAAGATAAGGTATTCCCCTAATCTTCACAAACAACAAAATTGGCAATTTCAATATTTTTGTATGGAAAAATAGATTTTAAATAGATAAGTATAATTAAAGTTAAGCATTTAAATTAAATACCTTCATCATAACATTTAGTTTAGCATATATTAATATTTTAAATATAGTTATACCTTTATATTAATAAGCTAAATATATTTAAAAAAGGTATAAATGCGACCTATAAAATGATACAAAATAAACACCTATAAAAAGAGGAGTAACCTTTCCTGTTCATTTTTTTTTTGTTCGACTTTATCAAAGTTAATCTAATAGCTCTTGATATCCCCGGCTCATACCACCTAATTCCCTGGGATGCGGCAACAAATGAGCGACATGATATGGAACATTTTGCTAGTTCCTTAAACTGAACAACAGAAGAGGACGAAGGACGAGGGCAGGACGAAGAGCTGGTTAAGCCTCGAACGCCACTCCATTTGGAAGATGTTTTTTACGGCTCGCCACAAGCACATAAAAAACCACCAAAATGGGTGACACACAAAGGAGCAGCCACACACACACCAAGGCAATGAAATAAACAAAGCCGCAGAAAGACTTACAAGGATTCGCTGGAGTGAGAGGGAGATAGCGAGAGAGAGAGAGCGAGATAGTGCCAAGTGTAGGAGAAAGGATATGCAGAAAGACAGGCAAATTTGGTTGGGAGACCAAAAGCCGGACCGCTGTCAAAATTATCAAGCAGCAGGTGTGCCCCTGCCACCCACTGTCACCTCTCCCACTCTCTCTCTTTCTTTTCCTCATTTTCTGTCTCTTTCTTCCCCTCCTGGAACAGCCGCTGGCATTATTGCTTTTGTGGCTTTTTTTCTGTTTGGTAAATATTTTGCATAAAATATCAATTTCATATGAAAACGTGCAAGCATATGAATATGTGCGACTTTAAAACTAATGAAATTTAAATGAAAATTGAAATTTACCAAAGCTGCAAGTGTGTAAACTTAATAAATTGTTAAATACATTAAATGCCCGGTGGCCTTTAGTCTGCTCTAAATAATGTTGCATAACTTTCAGGGCAACAAACAAATTTTTTGTATTTTTCTCGAAGAAATCCCAAGAACTGTCAGTTCTTCTTCGTGGGTGTGTTTTTTGATAAAAAATGCAAATGATGGTTATTAAAATTCCCAGAAAAGGTTGCCACCTTCAGTTTCAGATTAATTGCCCAACATTTAAGGTGACATTAAGCTAGGGGAAACCCCTAAAAAAATAAAGGGACAACGATACCCACAAGTTAATCGAAAAGAAAGAAAAAAAAGGGAAAATGGAAAGGAAACGGAAACGGAAACGAACGTATTGTAATGGCTGATGTCCCTGGCAAATGGCAATTTCACTCGATTTGGCCTAGGAACGAAGGGCGATAAAATTCGAAAGCAGATTTACTTGTTGATTTCCACGGTAATTGAATTACCCGCGAATAAAGTGCGGACGAAATGGGTTTCGACATTTTTGGCCGCCCTTCGGCTGCCCCTTTTATTTTTTTGTTTTTTTTTTTGGGCAAACAAATTGGCAAAGTTAGAGGTAGAGGGAGAGGGAGAGCGAGGGGCTCCGAAATTAATTCCATTTTGGGTTGTGTGTGTTTACTGGGTATATTTTTGGGGCCAACTTTGTGATGACAGCCTTTGGCCGCGGCAAACGGAGGTCTGAGTACACAAAAATTTAATTGCAATCTAATAGAGTTTTTATATATCGAGGTTTTTGGCCTAATGTATTTTCTGACCGTTGTCAATATTAGATGGAAATATATATTTTCCATTGAGGGGGGAGTAAAATGAATTAATTATAATGCAAATTATTCAGGCTTGGTTAGGAATTTGAAAAATGCTATAATGAAATTATTATTATATAAGCAATTACTTATGATTTTTACTTTGAAACATAATACTATATTACCAGCTATATTCTATAAAGAATTCCTTTAGTTTTTAGACCTACAAAATCAATTATTTAAACCTTAAACTGTCCTCAGGCTTAGTTAGTATATATTAATATTCATAAACCTGACTGACAAACTCACTCTGTAGCCCAAAGGCTTTTCGGGAGCACCTGCTGTCCACTCAGAGGATGTCAGGCGTTGTAATAATGTAATTGAAAAGAAATAAAACTAAAAATGTAAACAAAACGCAAATGTTGGCCGTGGGAAAATCACACCCCTTTCTCTTGGCTTTCCCTTGTTATGTGGTATTTATTTGTTAATACGATATTTACGCCCTCGAAATCCTCGGCAACTATTATGCCGTGAAATGGGAATTTTTCCAATCAAAACACCAGGCCAGGTTTAGTGGTAACCATATCACGTAGCCTGTTAACGGAAGGAATAAATATTTCAGGCACAATTTCAGACGGGGGCGGCGCAACTGGCATCCACTTAGCGTGGCCCACACACACACACCCATCCTCTCCTGCCATCCTGGTTTTCCTACGCATATAAGTTCGAGTGGAAATCGCTGCTCTGCGTCCAGATACGCTCGAATGTCCGCCCGAATGGATTCCCGCTACTTTGCCGTCCAAAGGAGGGCCTTGGAAATTGTGGGATTCGATCCGAGTACGCGGCAGCTAAAGCTAAAGCATCCCATTTGGGCTGGGATCTTGGTCCTGTCCCTGATCTCCCACAACTGGCCCATGGCCGTGTACGCCCTGCAGGATCTCACGGACTTGACCCGGTTAACGGATAACTTTGCCGTGGTGATGCAGGGTTCACTGAGCACCTTCAAGTTCCTGGCCTTTGTGGTGAAGCGACGAAGGATTGGCTCCTTGATCCACAGATTGCATCAACTGAATGAGGAAGGGAGCAGGAGTAGTGTCCGCGGCAAGGAGCGCATCCTGGAGGAGAACCAACTGGATAGGTATGTCTCCACAGCCTTTAGGAATGCCGCCTACGGAGTGATTGTGGCCTCAATCATAGCACCCATGCTGATTGGTCTATTGGGTTATATGCGCTTGGGTGTCTTCACACCGACCACGCCCATGGAGTTCAATTTCTGGCTGGACGAGAAGAGAGCCATCTTCTACTGGCCCATCTACTTTTGGGGCGTTTTGGGTGTGGCAGCTGCCGCCTGGCTGGCCATAGCCACGGACACACTCTTCTCCTGGCTAATACACAACGTGGTGGCACAGTTCCAGCTGCTCGAGTTGGAACTCTCGAAGGAGCAGAGGGATGACCAAGAGGAGCTTCATCTAGTGAAGTGCATCAATCGCCATCGCTTGGCCCTTGAACTGGCCGAAGAACTCAGCTCCATTTTCGCCGAGATTGTCTTTGTGAAATATATGCTCAGTTACCTGCAGCTCTGCATGTTGGCCTTCCGCTTCAGCCGGAGTGGCTGGAGTCCCCAGGTGCCCTTCAGGGCCACCTTTCTGGTGGCCGTCTTCATCCAACTCAGCTCATATTGCTATGGCGGAGAGTATCTGAAGCAGCAGAGTTTGGCCACATCGGAAGCGGTCTATGCTCACAGTAATTGGCCAGAAATGAAGCCTCAAAGGCGACGACTTTGGCAAATGATTATGATGAGAGCCCAGCGACCAGCCAAGATATTTGGTTATATGTTCAATGTGGATTTGCCATTGCTACTATGGGTGCGTAATGTTTGTTACTAATATTTACTAATTTTAATTGTTTTTATAGCTGATTTCCAACTATATTCTTTTGACAGGTCACCAGAACAGCGGGCTCCTTTTTGGCCTTGCTAAGGACTTTTGCTTCTTAGATTTAAGGAGTGTTTAGGAAACTAACTTGGAGGTTTGATACAAAATAGTATTAAATAATACATCAAGTAAAATTATATAAAGTTAATAAATAACTCTTTGATAAGGTTTAGAATTAATAGATGATGAAAAGAAAAATGTAAAACAAAGTCTACGCTCCTGAAGACAAGGACTTTTGCTCATTAACAATGTTGAAGAAACTACCTCGGAGATTGGATCTTTAATTACTTTATATTTATCTTTAAATAACATTTAATAGGTTTGATGATTCACTCAGCCGCTTATAAATTATAAAAAGAATAACTAAAACCTATAGAGTATTAAAGTGTGTAAGCATAATTTTACCTACTGATGATATTTTCACCTTTAAACCCACTTTTAAAATCTAAAATTAACCTATACAGCTCAAGCTAACATTACACAAAATATTTAACAACTAATACCTTACATTTGCATATAATATAATTGTTTAACCTTCCTAAAACTTGTACTTTCACCTTGCAGCATAATTCTTTAACAATTTCCAACTGTTTCGCCGAGTATATATGACCCTAATTAGTGGAGATTTCAAAGTATATGACTGGAGATATGTGTATATATGCTTTTGACAGAACCCGGACCCACCTCTGCCCCGGGGGAGCATCCATCCAGCAAAACCTGGCAATGGATGCAGTAAGAGTTGATCCCACTAACATGCCACTGCAGTCGGCAGTTGCTGAAGAGAATATGAAATTCATGAGCGAATTCCATAGAAGCTCCTGCTCCACAGCTCCTGCACAGCTCCGTTCATGCGTGTGGCCAGGATGGATGGCAGTGTATGACAGGATATACACATTGTGTATCCTTAGCCCAGGTTGGAATTTGTTAACTGAAAAGTATGCAACACGGCATGGCTCATCGTTCAGGTGGAGGCGTGTAGCAAGTTGCCGGAAAAATAGCTACTCGAACTATGCGCCAGCCATTCCAGTTTGTTGCCAGCCAGCCAATGGCCCTGGGGAAAGCGAGACTCCTTTTCGGGATGTCTTGGGAGCTTGGAACTTGGGCTAGTTTCGGGAGAATCAGGTGGAATGCCGGGGTCTTGAGCCGGCGACTCCTCCGCAGCAACCCATTCAATGGCGGTTAAGGAATGTTTTGCCTGTTTTGCGGAATTTTCGGGGCTTGCTGCTTAGTTGAGATTTGAATTCAGTTGGAAAATTTGGAATTCGTTTTATTACATTTTACAGCTCAGCAGCGAGTTACTCTCCTTCCTTGACACACCTTGGATTAGGTAACAAATTGCGCTCAGGTATAATTAATTTTTGTCTCTGACATTTGATTTATTGGCCCTGACCAACAGCCACAACTTTGCAAGCAAAATCCCGGCTACGCAAAAAAAAAAAAAAACAAACGAGCGGCGATGAATAAACGGAAATCGCCTTTGGGCCAACCAAGAGCAGCTATACGAGCCATTAGACACCTGCGGCATAAACAGCAAAATCGAGCATTAACCTGATATACTATATAGATATATACACAAAGATATATATACAGAAGGTTATAGCAAATTGTGGCCAAGATAAGAGAAGCTGGCCAAGTTGAAAATAGTGAACAACAGAGGGGCGTTTTATGTGTATTAAAAGAAAAAAGAAAAGCGAGCTGAGCACAGATTCTGTTTGCGGTTCGTTGAGCACACAATAATTCCATCAGCGGCAGCAGCAGGGAAAGTGGGCGTGGCAGATGGAAAAAGTGTGGAGGATAAAAGCGCCGATGGCACTTTCGCAAAATAAAAACCCGCATTCCTGCGGTCAGTTTTAGTTTAGGTTTTCCACGGTCCCACGGGGCGTATGGTTAATAATCAAATAACAGTGTGTAGTTGGCAAACATTTATGCAGCCTCACATGTAATTGTCATTCAAAAATTTCCGAAAAAAGCAAAATGTCAATAGGAATAATCATTGTGTTCCGCGGGGGAAACCCCCATCAAAAAAAAGAAGAATGTGTCCCGCTTTGCTATAAATTTCTGCATATATAAATTTACCTACTACATATTATTCAGCTATATATGTTTATATATAATATATATATATATATATTTTGGTTAAGCATACAAGGGCCTGCCTTGCCTGGGCAGAAAGTTTTCTAATTAAAATTATGCGGCTTGTTGAAAGGTTGAACGAAAAATACGAGGAAATGGCAGGCAGGAAAATGGGGGAAAAACACGAGGAAGCCAGTAACGAAACGAGTTTTTAATAGAAATTGTATTAATTAATTTTTAAAATATGCTTAAATACACATTTCTATGCATTAATTAATACGGGCTCATACACACTCACACACACTCGCACTGAGTAAACAATGAAACGTGACTGGAACTAAAACCAAGAGCGGCAAAAACCCAACCTAAACAAGGGAGGATTTAGACTAATTAAAATACTCCCACTTAATTTGTTGTTTATTTGGTTAAATCCAATTTTAATTGCTGACTAAAGTGGAGTAAAACACTCCAGTTTCTGCCGATTACAATGTTTTATTGACTGTTTTTTTTCCCCTCCACACACATAATTGCCAGCAATTTGGACAACATCCAAATCGACTTGTTTTTCCTCGCCTCTTAAGAAAGAAAATCCAGACGGGAAAAGCTAGGGGGAAATCTCTCTCTCCTCCCCTCACTCTTGGGGGTGGAAAATTGTTATCCCCAATCTCTTACTGCAAATCTCTGTCTCTATTTTCGTCTAGTTCAAAGTTTGCCAACTTTGATTTACGCCTCCCTATCCCTATGCTAACCCATTTTTATGCGACTTTGTGACCCATTTGAACAATTCGGGTTGCAGCTGCCAGGGGGAGTCCCCGGAGTCGATGCCACATGCATGACAAGCACTTATGCAAATTATATGGCGTACTTATGCGCGGCCAGAGGATAACACACATTATTTTGCCCGATATACCGAAGCGAATGGGAAAAACCCTCGTTTCAACAAAGTTTTGCAACAAGCAACAACTTTGGCTTCGAGCTGAATGGAAATTAAACCAAAATAGAGGATAATGGGAAACTATCCAACATACTACATATATCCTGTTCTTGTTTAATGAGTGCAACGGAAAATGTTGTTTAGGAAATACTTAACAGACTTTAATTAGTGAAAAGTGGAGTTCAAAAACACGAGAGATCGAAATGAAGTCAAGATCCTGGCAGCTAATGATGTTTTTAGGGAAATTAAAATTGAACAGGAACGAGAATGTTCATAAATTCAATGTGGAAACTTTTTATAACAAATAAAAATAGCTTCTAATTCCTATGACTAATTAATTTCAATTATTAAACAAAACATTCAACATATTCTTCTAAGTTTCACATTAAAATTGTAAAAACCCTTATTGAAAAGTTAATAAATCCTGTCATTTAGTTCAAACTACTAACTAAAAGGGCTTAAAATTGCTCAGTGAACATTGTTATAATCATTTCGTGATGACAAATTTCTGCAAATCCTGCTAAATGTCAATATAATTGCATTATTGCTCATTTAAGCAGAAGATATATAAAAAGCCATGGATAAAAAATGATAACAAACACATTTTGTGGTTTATAAAATTGCAATCAATCAGCAACGAGAAAACCAAGAATTTAAAGAAAAATATGTGATGAAATCCATTTCCATGTGCATTTCCATGGATTTTCATTTAATTAAAAATCCCCAAAAATGATAGGGGTCATTAAATAGTCATAATTATCATAATTATGTCTGCCAGCTCAAATAGTATTTAAAATTATTGATGCTGCCACAGAGAGACAGCCCCAAAATTGCAATTACTTTATGCATAATTAAATTATAATTCATTAGACATTAGATCCCGGAACCCGGACGCAACTAAATTACACAAAATTAAATATTACTAGAGAGTAAATCAATAAGCTTAAAATATATATAATTTCCTGTGGGTTAATTTCTGTAATTGATGGATATTCAGGGTCTTGACTTGACTCGACTCAATTTGCTGATTATAAAGGATAATAATGCTTGTAAATGGATGCATAGCTAAAAATTCTTACTATATAGGGAAAGATGGGAAGGAGAATTTTGCAGAATGAATGCTGATGATATGGAAATAACAAGTGCCATTGTGTGTGTTTAAGCAAATGTCAAAGAATGTGAAATTGTTTAGAAGAGCGACTCACGGACAAGAAAAGTGCAAAACAAAAAATATATATAGATATATATTGATGTATTGTATTTGAAAAATGACTTTTCTTCTGAGAAACAATTTCCTTGGCTTAGGAATGCGAATGAGTCTGCCACTTTTCTTGTTGCAATGTCGCATGAGTTTGTGATTTCTTTGTGTGTCGTTTTCTTATTGGTAAAACTGAGTGAGTGAGTGGGTGTGTTTTTTTTTAATGTGAATTCAATTATTTTTGGGTTTTATTTTGTGTGTTTTTTTTTTGTACATTACAATTTTGGGTTCCACTCCGGGCTTGGGATTGGCCTTCGTTGGCTTCATGGTGGCTCCTTCTTCTTCGTTTTCCAATCGAACGGAATATATTTACTTGTAATTTTGCGGTAGGATATTATTATTGTTTCCTTCTTAGCTGTTTGCTTACTGTTTTAATTATCTTGCCTCATTTGGTTTGCCGTCGATTTTTAATTAAATTCTTTTTGACCATAGTTTATTTATTTATGCATTTTATTGGCACTCTCCCTCTCTCTCTCTCTATCGTGTGGGTTTGCTTTTTTCCTGGGCGAAACCTTTTTTATTAATCATTTGGTTTTACAAAAAATGTTTGCGGCTGTTTATATACTTTAATTTATTTTCAATTGGATTGATATTCGATTTAGTTGGTTTTATTTGTTATATTTGTTATTTACTAATAAAATGCATGTAAGTCAGTCCGTCGTTTCACAATTTTTTGTTGTTTGTTTGTTGTTTTTTGTCTTGTATATTGGTTTCTTTTCTTTTTTGCTTTGTTGCTCTTGTGGTGTTTTTTTTCTTCTTTCTTTTCTTTTTGGTTAGCTGCAATAGAAAATTTGTCCAAAATTTTTGAAATTTCTAATTTCGAAAATTCGAGCAATTAAGGGGGAACGAGAGGCAACAGCTTTGGGAAAAATGCAACTGCCACATGTTGAAGACATGGCCAGCCGCACCCACCAGAACTGCCACGCCTATTTCCCAGCCACTACAATTGCGCTAACCATTTAGACTTGGCCAAAAACACAGACACGTTCCACGCCTGCCACCACACTTGGCTGCGCGGCTAAAGTGCGGACTTTAAACTCGTTGCGATTGCAGTAATAACTCTCTCTCTCTCTCTCTTTCTTCCTACTCGATTAGTACTCGCTCGATTAAGTATTTAATTTTTTTTCGAAACTATTTATATTTCTTGAAATATTTGAGACCGATTTCGAAACGTTCCAAGTCCAAGGCGTGCACAACGGCGCTCGGCGCTCAGAGGAAAAGACAACTTGATCACAGCATGGAAAATGTTCAACTGACCGAGTGGCTAGCCTGTAGAGCAGCAGTGAAGCTGCGGCTTTATCAGTTCGTGGCTCCGCCTTCGCTTCGGCTCGCAAAGGACTCGCATTCGTTGCGGTTCGGCTCCTGGTTTCGCTTCGCTCGCTGCTCGTGTCACTCGTGACACTTCGGGAAGCAACATGTTGGCCCTCGCAGGGAAAAAACTCAAATGGCGTGAGTGCAACTCGTTGAATTCCACTCGCGGCCGCATGTCGTCACGTGTTGCTCTCGCTGCTGTTGCTGTGGGTAAGGATTCGAGTGAAAGCTGTACTCTCTGCCTACGCCCTGTCTCGGGCAGGATAAGTGCCACCAAGGAAGCTTCCAATGCCTGCCATGCTGCCATCCTGCCACTGATGATGCGCGTCCTCGTTCCCGAACATTGGATATCCTTCGCAGCGGAAATTATGTATGACGAGATATGTATTACTTTGCCATCGAACAAAGGGAATGCGCTTCGTTCGCTATTCTCCAGCCGCCTTTCAGCTTAGCCGTGAGTTTTCATCAGCATTTGGTAATTGAGGACGCGAAGCTTGTTTCAACTTTCTTATTTTACAGAGCAAGAAATGGTTAAATAATATTTAGGGATCATAAATTCCGTGGAACCCTCGGGATCTTTCTGCTTTTCCTACCCCAGATTTATTTTTAGGACCTTGTAATATATTAAAATTTGAAATTAATATACTTTCTGTAAGAATTTTAACAGCATAAAAATATATTTGTATTTATCCTTCTAAACCCTTTTAAAAGGTTATATTTTGAACCCAAAATGATATCATAAAAGTATCATATAATATCTAGACGTATAAAGACCTTTTCTTTGGATCTTTAGAACCGCATGAATGATTTTATTTTGTTTTAAACATTGCATAGTATATTCAAAACTCTTATTCTGTTTCAAAAAATGCAGTAAGACCTGTGAATTATTGTTTTTTGCTAAGTATGTTGTTAAATCACTTAAAAGAGTGCCTAAAAATAAGCGATTTAAGTTCCCTAGAGTGTACTTATTAATGGTATAATAAACTGATGAATTTACCTTTTAAAAAATTGTCCAAAAACGTGTTAAAAATAAAATTTCCAAGTAAAACCAATTTTTTAGAGTGTTCTTAACCCCTACTCCACCCCACTCCCCTCTTTTGACTGATAGCGATAGCATAACTTTTTCGGTTACTCTCCAAGGTGCATTCACACATGGCTGCATCGAAGTTGCCAAAGAAGAGACCGGCTTAGAAGGTGTTTTTTTTTTTACTACAAAAAATAAAAAATAAAGCAGAGAATAACAGACAGAGGAGACGGACAAAGGGTTTTCCGGGGACTTTGAGTGCAGTCTCCAAGTCTACTCAGTCTTCTAGTCGACGTAATGCAATTATACATTGCCTGGCGGCACATCTGAGTTCAGCTTCATATTCTTTTTGCCATGAGTAATAAGCATTTGCATTTTCAGAAAATGTAGAACACAAGTCGCTGAAGAAGTTGCACGCTTTGTGGAAAACCCCTTCTAGAGCGAAACGGACCTAGGGCCATGTTCGTGTGGCATGAGGAACTCATGCTCATAATTTGTGCACTTTATTAATAAAGTTTGCCAACTTGGCTTGGCCCAGACAGAGTGGAAATACACAAAAGCCGGTAAAGAGATGACTACAACAAAAAAATGTAATACAAAAAAAAAAGTTATAACAATTTTTCAACAATAAAGCTGGTCAAAACTTGTTTAAAACAAACCCTGTGTTTTTTCTCTACTCATATAAACTGAACCATTATGATCTAGAAACTAGGATTGACAGAGGGAATTCCCCACTTTAAATGTTCTACTTTCTAGTAATTTAAAGAAATCTAATTTCTGCTTTTGCTAAAGAAACTTTTTATTTAAGGATACTGGAAAACTGTGGCCAGTAAAGGGAGAAGAAGGAGGAGGAAGTGTATCCCCTCCAAATCCTAGTTGTTGTTTTGCCCATTTTGACCTTGTCCATCCTGCTGCTGGTTGCCATTTCCATTGCCATTTGGCGGCATCGGGTGTCCATGTGGTTGTCCATTCTGGCCCTGGGCAGCAACCTGCTGGGGCAGCTGGGCCTGGTAAAAAGGGTATTGGTATTTCCTTATTGGAGTCCTCTACTTGCTATTTAGTTCTTACCAATCCCACAACCAGAATCAAGAGGAAAATGCTGAACAATGCAAACTGCTTCATGTTGAAGTTGTAACTGAAATATTGTCACCTGGCTGAGAGCTTTTATAGCTCTGAAAATCAAAGCAATTAGCAGGGAAGCCTCACAAAACAATTTGTAATATAATTTTGTTTTCATTTCTAATCTGATTTATAATTTCTTAATTGCATGTTTGTAACTATCAAGTAGTTAGATTAATTTAATGGGAAATTAATTTGTGAGATGTAGAGTTAGGGGTTTGTGGAAAGTAAAAAATATGTTCACATGGTTGTTTACAAAGTTTTGTAATTTTGCAAGCTTAATTGTTTAATTTTGTATAGTACATTGGTTCTATAATAACTATAAAACCTTTCCAAACCCCAGAATAATTAATTTCCCTCTAAACCCTACTATACTTTTCTTTGTTCTAATCTTTTATTCTCTCCAAAATTGACTTGTGCCAAGCGCACACACTCTCTAAATACTTCACAACCTTTGCCATGCAAGCAATTAAATCCTGGCATTATTATATTTTGATCGTGTTTGTCTAGGCTGTGTAAATTTATCCATTATTTAAGCTCGATTTTGAGGCTCGTGTATATACATGCCACTCCGGCTGCTGACATTACCTTACGTTTTTGCAAAAGGTAACCCGAGTAGCACCCACTTGCTCCTCTCACTCACCTGTACGCTATGCAAATCACCTTGGGGCCACCACGGTCTCGGGCAAAGCAATTTCGCTCAACATTTTTCGGCGAGTTGACTGGCAAAATGTCTTCGGTTTCAGTTTGAGATTAAATTTTGCCAAACGTGGGCCAAACAGCAACAAGACTTGTTAGTTCAACAAAAGGCGAAAGAGGCGAAAAAGTCTGCCCCTCCTAAAACCACCTGCCATGTGTGGTCACAGGGGAGACTGTATATAGCTTCATGGGAAAAACTTATGGTTCTTGACTGTTTTTTATAGATTTTATATAGTTTTTTATAGAGGTAAATGTTTCCAATAAGTTATTGTCACATCAAATATAATTTTAGCAAAGATAAAGATAGTTTAAATATAAATTTTAATAAATAAAAGCTAATTTTTACCATAACAAGTAAGCCAAAATGTTCTCCACTTTAATATCAAATTCCTTAAGTAAAAATCCTCTCTATAAAACAAAAACTTGTACCTTTTTCTACCTGTGCACCTGTCAAGACTGTATTCGGTTGGTAATAAATGCTCTTGTGGCGGCAAAAATATGAATATTGAATATGCCTTTGGCCGCGGAATGAACAGCAGTATAAACCGTGGCAAAGAGTCATAATACTATATATCCTTCTAGCAAGTAAAGGATATCAAGGGTGTAGGTAGAATATAAAGAGCAGGATCCAGGATCCAGGACCCTGGAACCAAGACCAAGACCAAGACGACACCAGCATACATTCTGGATGAGCACTAATGAAGTCTCCTCAGCTCTCCCTAGTCCCTTACAGCTGGCTGGCTGGCTCATTGTTTGACTTTGACTTTGCCACTACTACCTTTCAGAGATTCTGCTGCCACGCCCACTTTCCCGCCCCCCGCTTCCTCCTTGACAACGCCCAGTTTTCCCAGTTTGGTTACTCACCAATGTTTGCTCAGTCTCAGCGCTTTGTCCTTTTTGGCCCTGCCAGCCAGCCTGGCAGCCAGCCTATTTATTTATGTTTATAATAGGATTTTTATCAAACTTTTCCCCGAATTAATTTTGTAATGAGTATTTAAAAGACACTCGCATTTGGACAAGCAGCCGAGCAGAGCAGAGCATCAGCGACAGGACACACACACAAAAGGAGCGACCCGCAGCGAGCAGTTTTTTGGTGTTTGTCTTTTGACACGCCCGATGCCCACTCAACTTTCCACAGATGGGGCAAGGACGAGAAGGAGGAGAAGGATCAGGATGAGGAGGAGGAGGAGGAGGAGGAGCAGGAGCAGGAGCAGGAGCAGAACGAGGAGCAAGACCAGGGACCAGGATGTGGCAGTCAACATTTATGACGGATATCCTTTTAGGATGGGGTACTTGAAGTTGTCTGCTCATCTTAGACAATTATATAAGTACGTTTATATATATATATATATTTTAAAGCTGATCCTTTTCTAATTGAAATTGATGTTTTTGATGGCATTTGAGTGGGATATATATATTTAAAGAAGTTTAGTAGGAAAACTAAATGAATAACAGGAAGTTTATTGAGTCAATAAGGGCTTGTTTTGAATTGTTAAATAATTGAGTTCAGTTTCTTTAGCAAAACAATGTATTAAGAGTGATTTCCTACTTAACAAATTAGTTACTAAAAAGCCAAAATTTGAAATAAAAATATAGGAACTAATACTGATGAGAACCTATTTGCCAGAACCAAAACAAATACTTCTTGTCCTTTGAAAAAAATTATATTAATTTATGTGAATTAAATCAAATTCCTAGACCTAGAAATGTAGATATGTTTATCAAGAGAAAAATGATAGCAAACCTATAAAATATTGTTCTTAAATATCATTTGCAAGTCAAGTCTTGATTCAGTATCTAACTAACTATCGAACTAGACCTTAAACAAACTTTGAATTAAAGTTAAAGCTGTAATATGAATATATTATAAAATTAAATAAACAATAAATATCTATCTTTCTAAATGCCTCATACTTTTCTTAACCTTCTCAATAAATATAAATTCTTTATTCAAACTTTAGAGTATTCCATTGGTCATCTATCTCTGTAAGACATAATTTTCCCTCATATTTTTTTGTTCTACCCCGGCACTCTTATTCGCACCAGCAACTTTTTTGTTTTGACTAATTTGCAGCAATGTTCAGTCATTAAAATAATGCCGGTGCGGAAACTACGTAGAGATAGAGAGAGTGGGTCGTGGTCCTGCTCCTGCCCCGAGTCCTGCCCCGAGTCCTGGTTCAACTTCTGCACTCGGCGGAAGCTTTGTTGCAAAAACCAAAACTAGATAATTGCCAAATATTTGCGTAAGTTATCCTCATCTCATTACGTATTCCGGGGAACTGATGGAAGGGAACTCATATTTGGTGTGTGTTTCAGAATATTCACTTTCAGTTAGTGGTTATTACAGGGCATTAAATGTTCACCCACTCAACCTCCCAAAAAAACATCACCTCAAATGGCAGCGGCTGCGGCTTAGGCTTTGGTTCATTTCACTAGGATTCGGACTCTCTGTCTGAATTTTGAATTAAATCCCTGGTGGGGCAAGTTGTATAGCCTTTGCCGCCTTTGTGGCTACCTCCTCGTCTCTCTCTTTCTCTCTCTCTCTAAATGATGATAAAGGCCCGCCTAATTTTGTCCAAATTTGCTGTTTAAACATGGCCAATTTAATTTCTGGCAAGAGCAACCAGAGGAGCCTGTCTCGGCACGAGTATTTCTGCCATTTCGCATTTCACTTTTCACTTTTCGCCTGGCTAGCGGCAATTAAGTCAAGCCCATTTCCCCAAGTCAAGAGGGGGGTTTTTTTAAGGTTTTCTTTTTTCTTTTTTTTGGGGTTTTTTGGTTTTTGGTCTATTAAAAAGCGCATTGCTCTAAATGCTGTTAGATTACTCTCCTTCAGTGCAGCCTTTCGTAGCTTTACTCTGATTAAATCAACTATGCAACGGAGCGGGTGGGGCGGCGGGAAAACTGTGTGGAAAACCCACAAACCATTGGGGCAATCATTAAGGAAATCGCTTTGAAATGATGTGATGACTGCCGACAGTCGACACTGAAACAAAACACACACAAACGCTGCATTGGTAGGATAGGAAAATGGTAGGAAAATTCTGGGCAACTTTTCCAAAAGCATCATTAATCATGAAAAGTTCGGGCAGCCTTAATCCCTTGGCCATGGCGGATGGCATAAGCCTTTGTGTGTGTGAAGCTGTCGATATTTGCTTGTGGTTTTCCCCTTCAATTTGTAGAGTGGGGGAAATGAAAATGACAAAGTTCTATCTGGTCTAGATCCTACTCCTCCTAAGAATTATGCTTATCATATTTGTTTGGAATGCTTTGCATTTTTTCGCTCCTTGTGGTAACATCAACACACACACACACACACACACACAGAGATGACATTTCCTTTGTCTCATGCTCGCTCTCTCGTCCAAGTTTCATGCGTTCCTTGTTGTATCATTTTTTTGTTTTTATTTTTTATGTTTTTTATATTTTTTTATGCTGCTGTGTGTGTGTTGGAAAATACTGTAAATATTTTTAATTCTTTGCCAGCGCCAGAGGGGCAGCGGCATTTTCAGCTTTTAAGCTAAAGCTATGGAAATAATTTGGTCCCAGAAATACTTGCGGCCGAGAGAAGTAGGAGAGGATAGGATATGGGGTTTGGGTAGGGGAGAGGAGGGAGGAGCGAGGACGAGGCTGGTGTCCATGGACCCAGGTCCTGGTACCTAGAACCCAGGCCTGAGCCTGGGCAATTGGAATGCCTTTTGTGGCTCGCTGTAACGTCGTCGTGTTGATTAAGCCAGCTCCAAAAAGCCAAAGCCAAAGCGAAAAGAAAACGCGCGTTCTGGCCAAAAACTCGGAAAGGGGGAAGGGGGAAGGGGGACAGGGGGGCGCATTGTTACCGCGAACTCCCCGGTGGAAATGGTGACATGATGGTGGTGGTGGCTGCCACAAAGTGCCGCTGCAAGTGGATAATAACTGACGGCAACTATGCGCATTTGTTTCGTGCGGCAAAGTAATGAAAACAACATCCAGCGCCAAGTCCCAAAAATGACAACGCGCCCGCTGATGCCGCTGCCTTGCTGCCTTTGGGCGGTACAAAAATGCAAAAACATCACCGAAAAAACTTGCAACGCTGGGAAAAATCAACTTCTAGCGAAATTAGTCATTATTTCCCAACTACTTTTGACTAAAAATGATAAGAAAATAGCTAAGGAGTGTAATGAAATCATGACTAGACTTTGAAGGGTTTCCATAAAGAGAAATGTGATTTTTCTTCATCAAAGAAAAGTAATAGAATCTATAACTTTATTATAGACACAATTTTACCAATCATAAAAGACAATATATACTAATATAGTATACACAGGTTAAATTAAGTTGTCACAAAGCAAGGTGAAACTAAGACTTCATTTACCTTTTTAAAATAAAATGTTTTTAAGTATGCAAAGAATTATATATTCAGAATGAGTTTATGTAGAAATACTCTGAATTTTCTAGTATTCTAATTTTTATTTTATAAGGTTACCACCACTTTTTGGTATGTTTAATGTTCTATACTTAAGTTATTTACATATTTCAAATATTTTAAATATTCTTTTACTAAGTTGGAACCATTTTATATTTGGTTAATCAAATATTATTGATGTATAAACACCTATATCATGTTATGTATTTCTTTTACTGATTGTTTAACAATCTAATTTTAATTTATTTATCATTTTCAATTTCCTAATTATTAGGTTATTAGATTACAATCATTTATAGTAAGATTTTCATATTTATTATTAATTTATTTAGTTAAAAAACACCAATAATTATTTGTTCAATGTGTTTCTAAGTTTTTCTTTCCTATAGGAATAGTATATTATAACCAGATACCCCAAAGTAAAAATTCAATATCTCCAAAATAGTCGACAAAAACCCCCTGCAATCATTTTGAAAACCCCACAAATTGAAGTATGAATATTTATGGAATACTTCCCCCTATAAGCCCCTAAATATTCAACATGCTATAGAAAGACTAATGTAATTATCTATATACTCTTTTATCTCTGTGCATGGAAAACTTGCAAAGACAACAGAAACAAGCCACCCGCACCCAACAGCAGCAGAAGCAACAAACTATGGCTCTTCCCGAGGAAATTGCGTGCATAGTGGAAAAACTTTTTCGCCGGGTCGAAGAGCGTCTTCGACGTCATCAGCTGCTTTGAGGAGCGGTGCAGCTACCAGGAACCATCTCGAGTTTTCTTTCCCTTTTCTTTTCGACCGCTTTGAGTGCCAGGACAAAAGCAAAGACAAACAGCAGGGTTGCTGAGCTGCTTTGTCATGGTCGCTGATTTGGTCTAAGAAATGCATAGCTGCCTGCATTCCACATTTTCCGCTCAGGAAAAGCTGCTGGAGAGAGAATGTGTACGAGATGAGGAGGATGTGGCCGTCATTTTGGCCAGGAGTGCTCGCTCGTGCATGCCACAGTTAGCGCCTGCCACGTGGACTGTGGTGTGGAACACCTTACAAAACCATTATTCCATTCCTTGGAACTGCAATTTTATATTTATTTCTAATGGTGGAGGAAAAAAACGATTTCTTTTTATTGCCCTTGTTTCGTTTAGACCGCAATTTCCATTTAAATATTTAGTTATCTTCTTGGTTATAGCATTTACCTAGAAACTTGTAGCTTTTTCCTACCATAATCTCACATTTAAACACTTAATCTGATTAGTATATGCTTTGTTTTTGTGGGAAAACTTACAGGTGCATCACCTCAACAGATGGTTGAAGGATTTACCAACAGAAACAGGTAAATAGTTGCACATGTTTAGTCTAAGCGAGTCTCGAATTAGTTATAATTAAAACCTAACAAAGTAAATGAATAATTTCTTGTAATTTCCAAGAATCAAAAGCATGTTCCCTTAAGGGAATGTTTAATCAATCTCTTCAATTTAAAAGCTTTAGGTTTTCCTTTTGTAGAAAAAGAAAACCTGTTAAGTATATTTGGGTATTGCATTTCTCTGTCAAGGCTCAAGTTGCGCTGTTACCATTTCTACTTCCCTTTCAAGGCTGCTTTTTCTGTGTCTGTTTGCTGTACAGAGCATTTCCCTGGAACTCTGAAACCTCAAACACATTAAGTCAGCTTAAAGTCCAATGTGTTTTGAATTATAATGATGTCTGGGAAATGGTTGGAAAAGATAAAGCAAAACTAGTCTAGCTAAGCCACTGAAAGTGCAATAATAATTTGTAAAAGATGCTCAAGGCTTTTTGAGAAAGTGAAAATGAGCTATTGAAATATTTTATAAGCAACTTAAGAACTAAGAAATATTTAAAAGCAGGGAACCTAAACGTAGGATTATTTTATAATCCAATCATAGTTTTTAAAACCCATTTCCACACATTTTATATATATTTAAAATTGATCAAAATCCCCCAAAAGATTTAAGTTATTTTGCTAAGAAAATTCCTCGGATATCCCTGTCTCTTTTGACCCACTGTATCCCACCGGGCCAACACACACAAATTAGTTTTAACCAGGCCCTGTCACGCCGTGGTGAGCCCCATTGTGTTGCCACCAACGTGGTTGCCGATTAAGTGCGTCGCCTTGGAAAGCGTTTCAGGAGAGTACTTACGAAACTATAACCAGGACCAAAAACTACGGCCAGGAACAGGAGTCGCAGCTGCTTGTTGACATTTCAGTGAATTCCAGCAGGGAATCCTGCATTCAACACAAGCGTGGGTGAACAGGATTCCAAGGAGTTAATGGGGCTACGAAGGAGGCTCTAATCAACATCTAATTATTTTGCTCTCCACTCTAATGAAGGTGAGCCAAGGCATGCATGATTGATGATTGATAATTACGGCGGGGGTGTCGGGATTGCAGGATGCAAAGGGTGGACCCATCAAAATCAACATCAACAGCAACGCAAATCAAGCAGCTCGCAAAATCTATGCCAAAAACACTGAAACACACAGACACACATAGAGGTCCTTACTGGAGTAGTAGGGAAACCAATACCATAGCCAAAGCCCAGCCCTGCATTGGTATCTGTGTGAGATGCAACATGTGATACACTGTGTCCTAGTTCCGCATCCGTTACTGCGTTGTTATGCAACACAATGGCACACATAAACGCAGCAGGAGGTCCTTACGAGGGAGGTCGTTACGCGGGGCCCAGGACGTCATTGAGTTTGAGTGGAAAATGGTGAAGCTTCACTCGTCAAGCTGACTCAAGTTTTTCCCCCGAAAATCAAAGAAAAAAAACTCAAGCTCAAAGCTTTTGCATTTTCACAAACTTAAAGCCATGTCCGGAAAATATAACACAAGCTAAGCGAGAGCTTTTTTGGAAAAGCCTTTCCATAGGCTATCCATAAAATAACAGTAAAGCTTTTTCTAACAGCAAAACACATGGCAGTCCTTAAAAAAGGGGATGCCATAAAAACACAACTAACATTTAAACACAATCATAAAAAATTTAATAGGAAAACTCTGCAAAAAGGTTTTTTCTTCAAAAGCCCATAAAAGTATGCTACATAAATTGAGATTGGGATTTCCGACTCTTTTAACATATCCTTTCTATTAATCTAATAAATTCTTATAAAGAAACTGGGAGGTATAACATATCTTAAATAATTTAATTAAATAATTTGCAGAATTCTCCCCAAACTTCGATTCTCCGAAGTTCTAGTAACAATCATTTTTCTTTTAATTTGTTTTTTTGTGCTTGTACTTACATTTCGTTAGGTTTTCTATAATTGAAATATAACGAAACAAAACACAGTACACATGGCATTAGATATGTGATTGGCTTCTTTATCGATTGGGATAATACTGTCTATATATGTATATATAAATATCGATGTGTGCCAACAGATAATGCATATATTTACAATGTCTGTACTGCAGCGATTCAAGGATAATAACGAGGCGCACTTTATATGTTTAAATGTTGCATATATAATATGTATATCATAATGTTAATGCCTGATAACTTGTTCCATTAGAGTTACGTTCGCTTAAGATCTAAACTGAGAGGATAATTGAGGGGGACTGCAAGGCAGGCGGGTAATAATATACTATAAGCATTTTGGTTCAGGGGAAATACACTTATACACTCAATGAATAATATATAAATTATTAAATGGACTCACCCATATCATCGATGATCGGAGCCATTCGTAAAGTAACACCGATTAGCATGAGGCACATGAGCAGCAACAAACAGGCGGTGGCTATTATTGTCCAGCGGGCACGCTGTGACAGATCATGAGGATCGATCACCTGGAGGGAGGGGATAGGTATTTAAGGGGGAAATTATATTACTAAAATTGGTTGCAATGCAATTGTTACCTTAACAACCTCTGTGTCCAAGTCCTGTACCAGAATTTTTGGTTTTTTGTGCCGATGCCGCTTTTTGTGACGATGTCTGTGGAAGGAGATATTAAAAAGTATTATTTAAGGGTATAAGAGTAGTTTTTGGGATTTCTTATTTATAATATAGGAAGGTATATAGATTAGATAGGGAAATCTTCTGTCTTTCTTAACAAAATCTGAGGTTATCTATACCTCACAACAGTTTAATTTTATTCTCATAAAAGGTCTTTTTATACCCTTGCAGGGTTTTATAATTTCAGTTATCAGTAAGTATCAATAAAAATAAGTAACTACGATCAGTAAGTATCTATGAGCAGTAAGTATCTCTGACCAGTAAGTAAATAAGATCAATAACTAAGAATGAGCATCAATTAACTCAGATCATTAAGTAACGCTGATCAGTAATTATCTATGATCAGTAAGAATCTAAGACCAGTAAGTAAGTATAATCAGTGACTAACTTTGAACACTAATAAACAATGACTTGCAACTTTTGGATCACAACACTTGTCTGAGACTTGGCCGGCAGCAGTCACTTCGTTCCGGGGATGTTAGAACCAGTTGAGAATCATATGCACAGATGTGCGAGATTTGTTTTGGAACAAATTTAAGCTATTTGACTGAAACTATGAAGTTATTCTTCTATATAATTTAACTACTATATAAGTCGGACCATGGCGAATCGGTGGACTATATATATACATATATATATATATATAGCTGACATAGGAACAATCGGACGATTTGTAGAACTATGATTAGTAATTAACTATGACCAGTAATTAAGTATGATCAGTAATTAATTATGAGCAGTGAGTATCTATGACTCGTAAGTAACTCTGACTAGTAAGTAACTCTGATCAGTAAGTATCTATGACCAGTAAGTAAGTATAATCAGTGACTAACTTTGAACACTAATCAACAATGACTTGCACTTTTTGTAACACAACACCTTTCATGTACTTGGCCGGCAGCAGTCACTTCGTTCCGGGGATGTTAGAACCAGTTGGGAATTATATGTACAGATGTGCGAGATTTGTTTCGGAACAAATTTAAGCTATTTGACTGAAACTATGGAGTTATTCGTCTATATAATTTTACAAGCTTATAAATCGAAGCATGTCGAATCGGTGGACTATATACATATATACATATATATAGCTGGCATAGGAACAATAGGACGATTTGCAGAACTATGATTAGTAATTAACTATGACCAGTAATTAAGTATGATTAGTAATTCATTATAAGCAGTGAGTATCTATGTATGAGGAGCAGTAAGTATCAATGAACATTAAGTAACTCTGACCAGTAAGTAACTCTGATCTGTAAGTATCTATGACCAGTAAGTAAGTATAATCAGTTACAAACTTTGAACACTAATAAACAATGACTTGCAACTTTTGTAACACAACACCTTTCATGAACTTGGCCGGCAGCAGTCACTTCGTTACGGGGATGTTAGAACCAGTTGGAAATTATATGCACAGATGTTCGAGATTTGTTTTGGAAGAAATTTAAGCTATTTGACTGAAACTATGAAGTTATTCTTCTATATAATTTTACTACTATATAAGTTGGAGCATGGCAAATCGGTGGGCTATATATGTATACATATATATATATATATAGCCGGCATAGGAACGATCGGAAAATGTTAAGAACAAATATTATAACCTTTCAAGTTTTTAACAGATGTTTATAAAATTTGATATTTAGTCATTATAAATAAAACTAGAATTTTGTGTAAATGTTTATGGACTTCGGACTACTATATCATTTAGCTTCCATACAAACGATCGTTAAAAATAGAGGAAAATGCAAAACGGTATATATAAAATAAACATAAGTTTTTAACATAACTATATATAATTTATATTTTATTAATTTATAGTGATCGAATTTTATCTGCATGGGTATACAAACATCGGTGTGCCGAAGTTAGTTTAAGAATAATGAAATAAGAACCCAAAAAACACAACACAAATTAAAAATTTAAACTAAAGACACTCCTACTACCCTAAAGCCTTAAATAACACAAACTAAATTGATTGTTTTTTTTTGTGCTTGTCTTGAAATAAATACCTTGAAGGCTAGCTACATTTATGAAATGCTTATAAAAGGAAATTGAGTTTCAGTGAGTTGGCATTGCCTTGCCTAATGCCATTTAATGATTATTTCTAGCAGAAATGTTTGCACATTAATCTGTTTAGTTTCCTCCCCAAAAACCCGCTGCCTCTGCCACATATGTGAGAGCTCCTCGTACCTCTTCTACCTGCAACAGAAGCTTAAACATATTTGCTCTATTTCCGTTTGGGTTTTGCAAAACTTCCGCATTACAAAGCTGCCGCAATTTCCCCTACACCAAAGCCACCCCTCCACCCCTTCAAAACCGACCACCTGGTCCTCCTTTTGCTCCTCCTCATCCTGCTCCTGCTGTTGCTGTTGCTCCTCCTGATGCTTTTGCAACGGAAGTTGCTCCTGGCAATGGCAGAACGAAACGAAACAAAAAAACGAGAGAGAGAGAGAGCTGCGGCAGAAACAACATCAGACATCGTCCTGCTGACAGTCAATGCCATTGTGAGCCACCACCACCCACTAAAGCCTCACCCACCTACACCACCCAAAATAGTCGCACAAAGCTTGTCAATCAATTTTTGTCTGCTCAACGTCACGCCAAGCTCCCCAGCTCCCGGGAGAGAAAAGCGGTGGATGGGCAGGAGTCGTGGAGGCAACGCATTAGGACATATTTGGCAATCACAATCGCCGCCAATCGGCAGGACATTTATTAGTGCAGCGCAAGGACATCGCCGTCCTTTGTTTGCTGCACCTGTCCAAAGTGTCCTAGCTGTCCTGGCTGTCCTGGCTGTCCAACTGGGCCACCATTCATCCATCAGCCGGGCCAACCGAAATGCCCTATTATTTATATCCACCCCCTTCGATCATTACTCAACTCAAGCCGATTTTGGTGCCCGAACGGATCAAGGACACTGTGTCTTGGCGGGCTCAAAGGGATGCCAGGGATGGGAGGAAGAGAAAACCACCACTCACCGATGCTTTCGGCGATGCCGCTGATGACCACTGGGGACCATCTGCTCAAGGTCGTCGATTTTATCGCCATCTGTGTCCAGATCCAGGTCCATGTCCAGCTGCAGGTCACAGGGCGAATCCTCGCCGTACGGGCATTGTCTGGGGATAATAAATCACATTAGCGGGTTAAAAAGGTCCTGGCAAATAGGTTGCACATTGAAAGAAACTACAATTGTTGTCATATTTGTAAGGCAAAATACATTTTGAATTAAATATAGTAAATAATAATAATTTCTTTCAATAACAACCTCCTCTTGAGCACGAACTTACATGGGCTGCTGTGTGTCCGGATGGATGCCAAGCACATGCACATAGTGCTGGAGGCCACTGGGCGTGGGATAGACCAAGGCAGGATCCGAGCAGCGATGATGGCGCTCTGTGAAATTGGGGAGAAACGAAATATATACATAAATGATTGAGGAACCTCTGATGGCATCTCTCGATGGCTGCCACTTACTGTACTTCCGTTTCCGTCGCCGGTACTCGTCATCACTGCCCGTGCTCTGGGCCGTTGTCGTGGCCGCGGAGGATGGCATTGTGGGCCTAAAGACTTCACTGGGTCTCTCCTTGGGTTTGGCCGAACTACAGCAGCCGGTGGCTGCCACACTGGACCCCGTTGATGTCGAAGTCATCCGGTGCAGCTTGTCGGGCAGCAGGGTTCGGGTTCCCCCAGTTCTACCGCTTGGCCCAGGTACTCCTCCATCCATGGCAATGACCACATCTGTGGATCCTACAGGCGGGCGTCCGGCCAGCAGTCCTGTGCTTCGCGACTTGCGTCTCTCTTGACTTCCAATGAGGTCTCTTGCCATCGCCGGAGGCGTGTTGGCATAGCTGGGCGTGGCATGCAAAGACTGTGAATCACTCTGGGCCAGCACCGTGCTCACCGTCACATTGGCACTATCCTCCGAGGTATTCTGGCGTGAGAAGTAGCGGGAGTAGGCCTCCGCTCCACCAACTCCACCAGCCACACCAAATTCACCGGCTCCTCCTCCGCTTTCCGTGCAGGATAACTGCTTGGGCAGAAGACGACGACGCTGTGGAAGCGGAGCAGGCAGCGTCTCAATGTCCAAGGCCACATGGGGTTGCTGTTGCAATTGCAAAGGCTGCTGCGGGGTTTTGGCCAGGCTGGAGGGAACATTGATGTGCAGGCGCTGCGGGGGTAAAGGTAAAAGGATAAAGATGGGATTTTAAGAACAAGAACATTTAATTTTCTTAATTTTCCCAATTTCCTAGTACAACTCACCGCTTGTTGGGGCGCCTGCAGTGGAAATGAGCGCACCACATGCCTGGGAAAGATGGGGCTGCACTGGGCGCTAATCGACTTGGCCTCCAGGATCCTCAACCGCTTGGCCAGACGCGCCCGCTCCCTGGCCTCCGCCTCCACGCCGGTTAAGCCTCCACCTGGTCCTCCTCCTGGTGGTCCCATGCCCGATGCGGGCATCACTTCCGCACCACCGAAACTGACGGTGCAGCGGGAACTGCTGTAGGAGAGGCTCTCGAGGCTGCCGTGCAGCGAGGCTGTGAGGCTATCATCCGCCAGCGTGGAGCTGTGCAGGACACCGCTAACACCGGCGGCATTGGCGGTAAGTGTGGCAGTTGCTGTGGCAGTCGTCGAGGTATTGTCGTGTCCGGAGATCGGGGGCAGTAGTTCCGACTCGCCGTTGATCGTTGTGGAATGTTTGCCGGGAAGCTGGGTCCTCGAACGGACTTCGGCCTCACCCTCCGAGGTGCTGCTGCTGCGTGACCGTCGATCCACCTCCAAGTCCACCTGATGGGCCGGTGTATGGGTCTGGGCACGAACCAGCAGGCTGTGACTATGCCGAGGCTGTCTCTGAGCACCCGAGGAATTGCTTAACGTGCTGGCCAGGCTGTCTTCCAAGTTTTCCGGCCGTCGGGCTTGGGTACGCTGCAAACTGGCCACAGAGCCGGAAGCCTCCTCGATATCATCTTGCCGACTCTTGGCTTTTGTCTTGGCCTTGCTGCTACTAGTGGCAACTGGTTGTGCTGGTTGTGATGATGATGAAACAATCCCCTGCCCCGGCTGAGCTTCTTCCGCTGGCGGTGGCGGTGTATCCTCTCTGCTGGACCGACGACTCCCACTTCCTCCACCGCCACCAAATAGCTTCCTTGGCAGAAAGATGCGACCAATTGACTTACGCTTCCGCCTCTTGGCCTTCTTGTGCTCCTCATAATCCCGCTTAAGGGCCTGCATTTTGTGCTCCACCAGAGTGCTAAAGACAGCCTCATAGGTGAGGGCCCTCTGCAGATCCAGCAGGACATCATTGGTGGATACAGCCTTGTCCAGTTTGGTCAGCAGCTGCAGGGATTCGGCGCCGCTGCCACGACCACTAGCACTTCCACTCGCACTCCCACTGCCGCCGCTGCCACTGCCACTCTTGCTATCGTCCGCATCCGCCATGTTGACCCCGATATACAGTGGCTACACTTAGCTCCGGGAGCTCGGGAGCAGGCTCGGATCCTGGTGGCTGGAGGCGGTTGTTGCTGCTGCTCTGGCTGCTGTCTTTAGCGCCTATTTGCATTCTCCTCGACGCGTTGAGACGTTGATCGGCTGTGTCTTGTCCTCGGGATTGTGTTGGAGATGCTGCTGCTGCCTCCCCGTCATCTGGGTGGCGAAGCTTGCGGACGTGTCACTGTCATCGCTGCCACCAGCTAGTTACCTCCTCCGTTTTCTCGTCAATTGCCTTTTCAATGGATTCCCCTTTGTGTGTCACGATGGCATCAAGTGGCGCTTAAAGGCGATGGCAGCAGCACCACTTTCTACACCTGCTGCATCAGCACCTGCTTTTGCTCTTGCACCTGCACCTGAAACAACAACAAGGACAAAACATTAGACTGGCACTCCAATTCGATTCAATAGACAATCATCGCCCAATCTCCCAATCCACCCCCACATGCCCCTCAAGGACACACAAAAGGCAGAGTTCCCAGAGCACCAAAAGGGGGGAGAGCTTTGCCAATAGTTTTGCTCACTTTTCTGGCTCGGATTCGGATTCACATTCTCGCGTCTGCCTCCATTATGCATGAGTGTAGCAGATTTCAACTTGTTGCACGCACACATCCACCCGCACAGGACCTCTCTCACACACACACACACAAACACACACTACAGACACGGCATCCAAGCGCCAGTCAATGTCGAGTGGTCAGTGATGACCCACTTTTGGTTGGCCTTTTTCTGGCCAACTTAATGGGGCAGGATGGGGGGGTGGAGGAGGGGTTGGGAAATGGAAAATAGAGTCGGTCTATGAAAGATTCATTTTAATTCCAAGTTTATTTGTATTTATGCGGTTTGCCAGACCAGTAAATGTGTATGTGGAATGAAATAAAAATAAACTTTATACAATTGAAGGAATTAAGGTTAGCTTTAAGATATTTAATGTGAAAAAGTCAATAAAATAAATCAATATATTGCTAGTTAAAGGACTTTAATATATGGAAGATGTGTTAATAATCATCATCACATAATAAATATGTATGAATAACATATATGTTTTATTTAATAATATAAAGTTCAATGATACACGCTAACAAAGTGTTAAAATAGTTATCAAAACAGTATTTCATCTTAAATATGAATATTTAAACCTTACACCTTACTCAAAGTTTAATAAAAACAAAGCTAAGTGGCCAACACTGAGCCAGGGAACAGAGTGAATTGGTAACATGAAGCTATGACAGGTAACTGGGAGTGCGAGTAACAGTTAAAGCCAAGCTCCCCGGCATCCTGAGAGCAGATATGTGCGCTATGCAGTGTGTGGGTTATGAAAGTATGTAAATATATATACACATACACGAGACCCGAGGCCCATGGGAAAATGCCACCGACAGGACTCCCCTATGGCCACCGCCTCCATTGCGCTTTCTGCGGCCCTTCATTCCGTATGTATGTAATAACAAAAAAACAAAAAACCTACAATGGAAATGGATATTGTTTTCATTTCCGCAATGCATATACATAGTCGCTGCTTGTCGCTGCTGAAATCGCAATCGTCGTGGCTATGACTATGGCTGTGGCAGTGGCATGTTCGTGTATGCCCATGCCAGCTGGGATGCAAATGGCGCACAAAGGGTCGCCACAATGGGTGCCATCAACGGCAGCGGCACCGCCATCTAGAAAAATGATTAAATGCAAAACAGAAGAAAATAATACACACAACAATGCAGGACATGAAATGGGCGGAGCGCACGCCCTGAATTTGAATTCAAAGTCCTTGCACTGTACGATGTGGCAGTGTTGCGGCAATGGTCCTTCGGAAAACGTGTGGCAATCGCTAATTAAACGATACGGCTGGGTAATAGAAAAAGTTGAAGCCGCCAGTTTGCATAAATTTTCAGTTAACTGGATAAAATACTTCGCCCAGACACACACATGCGCTCACTCAGAGAATATGAGGTAAAATATGGAGCCACGGATCTCATTATTATAAATTGGTAAAGATAAATAGCTTATCTTAGCGATTCTCACTTATAAGAGCTACCAGCACTACAGCGCCTTCCTCTGCGATTCTCATTGTTAGCACTTAAGTAAACATAAAATAGCCCATTTTAGTGATTCTCAGTATATTGGTATTCGCCTTTCTTCATGATTCTTAGTGATTAGATAGTTTCTCAGTTATAAGATTGGCTTTTCTACATCGCCCTCCTCTGCGATTCTCATTGTTAGCACTTAAGTAAACATAAAATAGCCCTTTTTAGTGATTCTCAGTATAAGAGGTACGCCGCCTTTCTCAGTGATTCTCAGTGATTAGAAAGTTTCTCATTTATAAGATTGGCTTTTCTACAGCGCCCTTCTCTGCGATTCTCATTGTTAGCACTTAAGTAAACATAAAATAGCCAATTTTAGTGATTCTCAGTATAAGAGGTATTCGCCTTTCTTCGTGATTCTCAGTGATTAGATAGTTTCTTAGTTATAAGATTGGCTTTTCTACATAGCCCTCCTCTGCGATTCTCATTGTTAGCACTTAAGTAAATACATAAAAGGCAGTTTTTAGTTTTAGTGATTCTCAGTAGAAGAGGTACGGCGCCTTTTTTAGTAATTTTTAAATATAGAAAGTTTCTCAGTAATTATTAGAGTTGCTTTACTAGAACGCCCTCCTCTGCGATTCTCATGGTTAGCAGTTAAGTAAACACCGAAAAGGTCGGTTTTAGTGATTCTCGGTATAAGAGGTACCTTTCTTAGTGATTATCAGTGATTAGAAAGTTTCTCATTTATAAGATTGCCTTCACTACAACTCATAGTTAAGGCCTTAGTAATCACAAAAAAAAGCGTCCCATAGTGGTTCTCATTTGTTTGTTTTTATTATGCACAAAATATAGTTGTGATATTTCATCATATTTGTCTGCATTAATACCATAAAACGAGAGCTGAACTAAGAGATATAATGAGAGCTCTAAGAATCCAAAGAATCAATCAATCAAACCTCTAAATTATAACCATCACCCTACCAGCTTTAAATTGCCTTTGTAATGCTCACAAACTTAACTAAACAATCTTAAATAAACTTGAACTAAATCCCTAAATAGATTCTACCTAATTCAACTTCAATCCAATCTTTTCAAGACATTCCCTAAAAAAAAATTGCCTTTAAGCCATTTACTGACCAACGAACAATTTCAATGAATCCAATCCTCAAAAAAAAAAAGAAACCCCCCCGAACAATGACACAACAATAACAATTTTTTGTGAGTGCACACAGCCTAAGCGTCTTATCTTTGGTCCAAAAGCACAATATCCAACCAGCCAAGCGTGCAAACAATCTAGGCAAATGAAAAACGGTGGAGAAAAAGGTAGGCACACACTCAAACTCACACAGCACACACACACACATAACACACACTCGTACACACGCATAAATTCAAACAAAGACCACATGCCTTACAACCATGGCCAAAGGCTGCCATGGCGAAGAAGGAATGGTCCAAAAATAAATCATTCGAGGACATAAAACGAAGCCAGGCAAAAATTATAACTGTTGCTGCCACTGCCGCAAAAGTAAATAACGTGGCTAACAGCGGCAACATCTGTTGTTGGCCAACGTCGACGTTTGCAGAGGAAAATTCAGGAGCCAACGTCGACGTTGCCGTCGCGTATGCTCAACAGTTGTGCAGCAGCAGAGGAAAATGTCCAGGAAAAACTGAGAGACAGCCCTAATTTCTCTCTCTCTCTCTCTCTGCGCAGCTGCTGAAAATGTTAGCTGGAAAAGTGTTTAAGCCAATCTGTTGTTAGCTTGTTGCTGGCCCTACAGCTCACTACGACGAGGATCTCTCGGCCAAGAGTGTTTGTCCGTGTGTGTTTGCCTTGCCAAACTTTTTAGCCAAGTAGTTGACAGTTTTTTCTCCATTACATTTATGCCATTGTATTTAGTAGTTTGTGCTGGCATAGTTTGGTATAGTTTTTCGCAAAACTTTCATGGCTGCAGCCTCTCTGCAGTTCCTCCCGGTGTCAATGACAAGCCGAACAAATGCTTAATTGGTGACATACATCGCCTGGCGTTGAATGGGTTTATTTTAATGGCGGCACTCGAAAAATGTCTGACAGGGAAAAGTTTTCTCTGCTTTTGTTTCCTCAAATGGTTTTTTAGAGTTTGCAACTAAGTTTATTAATTTAATGGGATTTTTTTGCTGGTTTATTAAGTATTCAAATTTGTTAGTTTGTTGTGTGCTGCAGGTCAAACTTTTAGTTTGTTAGTTTTCACCAGTTATTTTTTATGATTTAGAACTCATTTATTTATGGAAGTTTTATAAATAAAAACCCTAAAAAGGTAACAAGAATTGGGCTATACCTCTTTTTGATACCATTTTAAATGGTCTTATGATTTCTGAACCATCCCAGATACATATATTCTTTCTGAAACAACCTACTTTTTATTGTACAATTATTTATTGCTTTTTAAAGCCAAAAATAAACATTAACTCAACAAGCAACTTGGCAAACATTTCCCTTTGAAATAAAAGACTAACACCGAAATTTAGTGGCTTACCATTTCCCGTATTAATTTTTGTTTAATGCTGACATTTACTGCCAATAAATCAAATTAAAATTCGCCATGGGAAATGACAAAAATAAATCTAGATTTCATACGTGTAGTACGTGGCGTATACGTGATAATCCAGGGGCATACATATTGCGCATACGCCATGTTGGCCGGCACACAAAGCGGATGTTCCTCCCAAAAACCAGCATAAATATATAATTGTTAATAATTTCACAGTACAATTACCCCCACAGTTCAAATCAAGAATGGAATAGCAAATGCAAATGGCCTGAATTGCAGGCGAATACTTAAATTTAATCAACTTTCGTTGGAAAATACCGCATGGAATCCTGAATACTGGAATTTTCTGCTGATGCCTGGCTACCCACGGACCCTCGACGGAGGCGTGTTCAATTATTGACGCCCCTTTTCTGTGCTGTTGTCCTTCGCACATTTTATTTTTTTGTTTAAGAACCGATGCAGCCCAAACATAACAAAACACAAGCAAACACAGGCAAAGGCACACACACACACGAAAAAGAGGAGAAAAAAACATGCTGCTTGGCAAATAAAACATGCACATGGCTTAAAACACATGACACCGAAACGAGAGAAGTCCAACAAACCGAGAAAAAAATGAGGAAAATAAACCGGAGAACAGCGTTCGTCCCCCTGCCCATTTTCCATTTTCCACTTTTGCTGTTTTTTTTTCTCCTTCTCCACTGGCACGACCTTTGAAATTAGAGTTCTGAGATGTGTACGTAAAGTTGGTTGGTACATCCATGTGTGTGTGTGTGTGAGACTACAAGAACAACACACATTCAAATG